TAAAGACAAACTTAGGTCCAGGGACAGTGTTACATGCCTTTAATCTCAAACAATGAAAGTAAAGTTAGTTTGTAGAAGGAAGCACCCTTATTTGAAAGTGATGCCTAATTGAGTGGCAGAAAAGGTGATGAATCAGAGAAAAAATTGACAGAGTAGGATATGCCCAACTCTCATGAGGAGAGGAAAGGGAAGCTACTTAAGGGGCAATGCAGTAATAGAGGGAGGAGGCAGTTTTACTAGGAGAATTGTATAGAGAGACAAATTGTAGAGAGAGAATAAGCTAGACAGAGGTGAAGACAGAATGAGCCAGAAGATTAGAAAAGATTTCTGGAGTTAGTTTGAGGCCAAACAGAGCAGTTCAGGGGCCGAGAGAAAGGCCGGATTGAATCAGTCAGCTGGGAAAGGAGTTTGAGCCAGAACAGCTGAGTTGAACCAGCCAGCCCAGAGCTCAGTAAGAACAATAAAGGGTGAGCTTATTAAGCAGTAAATCTCAGGCTGAAAACATTCTAGGCCTAGGTTAGATTATACGGAGGCTAGAAGCTTCCAGGACTAGGCCTCGGTTAGTAGATAGAGGCGATAACCCTCCAGATGACAGTTAGGTGAATAAAAGTTCCTTTTATATAGGACTCACCATTCTCTGCTTGAATTTGAAGCTGTACCTCCCTCAAATCCCCAGTGTCTCAACAGACATCCTCTTCTAGCTGAATGACAGAGAGTGTAGTGTGGAGAGGCAGGGACTGTGGATGTAGTATGCATGTAGTGTGTAGTGGCTGACTTTCATCCAGATCCATCACCCACCAGGAACTTGTTGAGGAGACCAGTGTCCCACACTATCCATCTCTGTCAAACACAGGATAACTCCAAGCTCCACACCTCCCTTCCATCTTCTCTCCTTTTCTGCTTCCACCGTGTTGATGGCCTTCTAAGAGTATGGCCATGCTGTTAGCTTTTATTTTTGTGTCTACTTCACAAATGTGGGAATGAGCGACATAAGAGTCTTTAGCCCTGGGTCACAGGCGGTGAGCAGTAGGACTGAGGAACCATCCCACAGACACAAACACTCCTTCTCCCTGGGCCAGCTCTCTGTCCTGTCAGCCTGCTCTCACCCCTTTCACCTTTCTTTTCTTACCTAGCATCCCTCTACCCACCCTCCGGAAGCTTCCATGAATTCCTCTGGGACTCCCTGGGGGCAGTTTCAGGAGGAAAATGGCACAATTCTCTGAAAGCTGACTTGTAATAAGACAGGCTTTTGTTATTCAACATGGACACAGAAGTGAACTCAGCCAATAAGAAGTTAGAGATATTTGGGAGGAAAGGTGTGCCAGACTCGGAAATGACACGAATTTTCTTTCACATATAGGTTCTAGATAGATGTTACCGTTTCTATGTGTGGGCTGGCGCCTCTAGGCCACAAAACTAGAAAGGGGACTATGAAATGAGGAAAAAGAGCTCCTGGGAGGAAGAAGAAAAAAAGAAAGTAAAATGGTGCCTGTGACCTGAAGAGAGGATGGGGCTACTAGAACAAACAGGGTGAGGGATAGGAGGACAGACGAAGAAAGTATAGGTGGGAATCATCAAACACAAGATCTGTATGAAACTTCTATGACACCCATTTCTGTTTGTATTAAAACATGAAAAAAAAAACCACATAGAAGATTAACATGACTAACAAGGCATATTACAAAGCATTATATATATATACATATATATATATAAACTATGTAACTATATATATAAAACAAAGCATTAAAATAGCTATGTTTGGTTAATATATATATATATATATATAGAGAGAGAGAGAGAGAGAGAGAGATGCAATCCCTGCTACATTGATGGGCTGCAGACATGGCTTAGTGGTTGAAGAGCATTTGCTGCTCTTATAGAGGACTCGGGTTCTGTTCCCAGTACCTACATGATGGTTCAAAATTGCCTATAATTCCAGTTCTAGAAGATCTGATACCCTTTCTAGTCTCCGCAGGCACAGTATACACAGTACCCACAGTACGTATACATACATGTAGGCAAAATAAAACCTCATACATGTAAAATAAAAGATATTAAAATTTACAATTCCTGCTAAGTTAGGTTGGACCACATTGAAGCAAAATAAACATGAGTGTTAGGATATATTGGGAGGCCTCTATGATCTGATCAGTCTATTCCATTAAAATATAAAACAGTTAAAAAACTAATAGGCATAAATGAACACATAAGACCTCAAGAGGTATTGATTTTGAGGCTCAACCATTTATCAAGCTACTTGAAAACTATCCTTGGATGGGTTCCCTAAAATATCCTCAACCCATGTCTGCAGCTGGGGAACATTCTGTAAAGCCATGCCTTCAGAGCAGAGAGTAGCAAGCACTCCCTTGCTACATGCTGGGGCCAGAAGCGGCCTTTAGAAACTATCATTCAGGAAAGTAGAAACTTAGCCACGACTACAGAGTGAGCAGAGTTCCAGCATGTGAGTGTCCTGTGCCCTGCTCTCACGGCAGACATAATGGAGAATTGTAAGTGACTCGGATGACAAGGGCCTATGAGGCAGAAATGGTTTGGAACTCTGGTTCAAATGTTTTTTACATTCACGTAAAGGTGAGGGAAAGGTCTAGAAAGCAGTTCTGTTCACGGGATTTCGAGTGGTCTATGGAAGCCTATGCAGGAAGCAAAATGGTGACTAGAGGAGAACAGGCCTTTCTTTGGGGGATATGGGCAGAGAAATGAGGAAGGAAGCCTGAAGATTAAACTAGTGAGAGAAAAACCTTTCTCTAAGGGATACTAGCTTTCCCGGGAAGAAGGGGATCTGAAGGGTAAGGGGATTTTTTTGTTTGTTTGTTTTGTTTTATTCCCTTTGTTTTTCCTAAAACAAATGCTATGATGTTTAAAAGAATTCGAGAAAAATAAAAAAGAGCTGTAGAAGATTAACCTGGAGTCTGAGTGTTGTAGGGGCGGGCACTTTGTCTAGGAAAGCAGAGCTAATGTGGTCCTCTGATGCGATGGGATGAGGGAGGCAGGAAGTTTGGGAAGGGGGAGGTAGGCCCAGCGAAAAGTAAAACAAGCGGGATTTGGTTTGGTGGCTAATTCTCCGGAAAGGCAGGAAATGGAGTTAAACTAGAATGTGATCTGGGCTGTGAGACACTCACAGGAGATGCTCAGTGCTCAGCCTGACTACCTGAGTTCAATCCCCAGGACCCAAATGGTGGGAGGAGAGAAGTGACTCCCCAAAGCTGTCCTTTGACCTCTTACCCACGCATCATGGTACATATGACCCCAACACACATACTCGTACATACATGTACATGTAATAAAAGTGTTATAATTGTTTTTGCGAAAACCCCAAACTATGATATGCCAGTAGACAGAAAATGAGGAGAGGAAATGGCATTGAAAGCCAGAAGAAGGTCATGGAGCTGCGTAAGTCTGTCCTGCTCTGCAGTTAACGTGTGACAGAATGCTCAAACCTGAGCCTGAGTTTGATTAGTAGATCAAACCTGGATAGACATATGCCCCTGCCCCATTCCAACCCCCAGTTTATCCAACACAGATAAAAATCTCATTGTTTTATACTTACAACGTTCTTAGAGCGCCACAAAAATCAGTCTTTGCTTTCTTTCCTCATTATTTGACTTTCTTCCTCATAACATCTCAAGACTGAAACAGCCAACTTGACACTTTCTGACACAAGAGAGCTGTGTCCAGAACTCAAAATATTTCAGGCCAGGACCAAGAGGGAAGGGGACAGTGCTAAAAGGGCCTCTTGAACCTGAGCTCAACACTTCTGCCCACTCCGCATCGCACCATTCTTTCTGACCCTGCTTCTGCTCTGGTTGCAAATGAGGAAAATTACTCTGACGATTCTGAGAGATTAGCATATTCTGATTAGCATATTCTGATTAGCATACTCTGAACACAGGGCCAGAGAGATAGCTCGGCTCGTAAAGATACTGGCTGTCCCTTCCTAGAACCCAGGGTCAGTTCCAGTACCCACACAGCAGCTCACGAGCATCTCTAACTCTACTTTCAGGAGATCTGATGCCCCTGTCTGGCTTCCACAGGCACCAGACATATACGTGGCACATGTGCATACTTGTGGGCATGCAGGAGAACTGTCATACCCATTACATAAAAATTAATCCTGAAAATACGATTTTTTTTCAGCTTCCTGAAACCAGGTACTTTTATGGAATTATGTGTTTTTACTGTTGTTGTTTTGTTTGCTTTGTCTGTCCTGGATGAGGCTGTCCTCTTGTTTCTCTGTAGATGAGGCTGGCACCAAACTCAGAGATCCGCCTGCCTCTGCCTTCCAAGTGCTGGGATTAAAGGCAGGGACCACCGCCACCCAGCTGAACTGTGCATTTTAGCAACAACAAAATCCTCAAGTGTCAGTCCATGTCTGAAGTTACATTTTAACTTTTTTTTTTTCTTCCATTCATTAAGACTGTGTTCACTAGCACAGGTTAGGAAGACAGGAGGTGATTAAGTTAAAGTTTGGTTTTAAAATAGTCAAAACTGTGTACTGGCTGTTGGCTCCGGTGATCTCTTCTTTCAGATGGAACTTGAGCCTATAAAAAATTGTAGTGGGAGAGAAGGTGCCAGAAAGTGTTTGCTTTTCTTGGATAAATCTGTAAGTCGGTGTGTGCTGTCAAATGACATTATTCCTCCATGGAAGTCACACTTCCTACACAACATTCGACACTCTGCCTTCTTTTCACAGACTTTCCCAAGCAAGGTTCAAAATCTCTCTTGTGTTTTGTACTCAACAAGCCTGTGGTCCCTCAGTTAGGCTCCAAGAATCTTTATGAAAGAGTGTTTAACAATTAGACACCCCAGTAGCTACAGTTTCCAAACTGAGTTCCTTAGAGCAAATTGCTAAATAACAGGGGAAGCCCCAAACTCACCAAGCGTGAAGAAGGAAGACATACAGGGGACTCGTGCTTAGTAAAGTGACATAGGGAAAAGCACTCACGTCACTGCTGATAACTTGGTTCCAGACCCAGACTTACCAGATTAAGGATTGTCAAGTACTTTGAATGTACACCACCGTCGTGGAATTCCTTTAACTTCTCATCATCCTTCCCAATGTTTGGGACGTAATAATTGAGGAAGATGTACCAGTTCAAAACAAGGAAGTGATATATACAAGTGGTTGTCTTGGTCATGGCTGCCAAGGGTTGGAGCAGTCTGCCTGTCCTCTGCTTTCCCGAGGAGTCCTGGGAGCCGCTGCTGCACTCTGTCCAGGCTTCGGAGCTGTGGAAACAAAGCCCTCTGGGAATGAGCTTCAGCACAGGCTGGGAGTTTGCTTCTCCCTTAGGTACCTTTCCTTATAAGCTTTCAGATAGCTACGTTTAGATAACTGGACAGCTTGTGCCCATTTCAAAACAGGGTTTTGAGGAGAGCAACAAACAGGAGCTGTACTTCAAACAGGGCGTAAGCCCGCTGAGTGACCTGTTACAAATGACATCTTGGTAAAAGGTCATGCCAATGTTCCTCCTTTTCTTCTGGTCACAAAGGTCACGGGTAGCAATGGTGCCATTTTCAAAGAATGAGAAGTTCTTCTTAAACCAGGAAGTAAAGACTTGGATGTGTTTATAGCCCCAAGAAAGATAAGGAAACTGGGTGTAGTCATTCTACTTGTGAAATGTCTGAGGCATTATCAAGTTTGAAAAAGTCTTTGATCCTCTAGGAACAGACCCAAGGGAGTCTCTACTGCCCCGCCTTTACACTAGAAAACTAAAGATGTCCAGACATTCCATTACCACAGCATTTCTGTGCCCAGAAGGAAGGAGCATAGTGAGACAACCGTAGCCAGAAAACCAGCATACCTGAGTGTAGATATGGCTGGGGGGAGTGGTGGAAGCAAGAGCCTCCGTAGTTCCATGGGGAGTACAAGACATAATTGGATTGGGAGAGCAAAAGACAGGACCCTACCTCTGCCTGTGCAGAAGGGGACTTAAGGAGAACTGCAAGTGTCATGCCTTGTGACATCACTGGTCTGTTTCCCTGGGCAACTCACTTGGAGGTTGAGCAAGTTCCTTGAGAAATGGCCCTGGAGCCACTAGGGACGTGTACAGTTGATGTTTTGATGACCTCGCCACGGTTAATAAGAACTGAGAAAAAGAACCACAAGTGGCTATGGGAACCCAAATACATCCCTAACAGGCCTATGTACAAAAAGTCTAGACCAAACATTCAGACTCATATGCAGGAGGACAGTGGCCCCGAGCCAGCAGCTCTGCAGGATAGCCCCTTCCTAGACTGTTGGAAATGCTATAACAAAACATCACAAAGCTGCAGCTTATAAACAAGAAATTTATTTATCCCATTTTTAGAGGCTAGAATGATAAGAACCTGCTGGCAGGTTTAGTATGTAGCAAGGGTTCATTTTCTGCTCAACATATTTAATACTCTCACTTCTCATGGACAAAAGGCAAAACATCTCCCTCGGGCATCATTGGGGCTGGAATCCTATCTGAGAAGACTCTGTCCTCACCTCCTCAGGACTTGTCTATGACCATGCCTGTGACTAATACCATCAACTCTGAGAGTTAGGATCTCACGCTATGAATTTGACGAAGGCATAAATGTTTAAAACCAAAAACCATTCACCACGGAACGGGCAGTCCAGGACACGGGACAATGCTTTGCAAACTCCCTGGCCAAGGCTAAAACTGCAAATAACTTTGGTGTCTCTTGCTTCTATAGCACCGATGGCTAAGCCTGGCTCTGAGCGCTTTAAAACCCATAATGATGTTGGCACTAAAACGATGTGCTCCGAAAGCAGGAGGAGGTAGAGTGGACCCACACTGGTAACTGATTTTTGTTCTTGTTTCTAAGACAGATCCCAGGTTGGCCTACATATAGGAGCACTATCTGTAACTAACGATGATGGTGAACTTTTAAAATGTGTGTTTGGGGGGGTCCACTGTGTACACGTGTGTGTTGGAGACCAGAGGACAATCTTAAATGCCGTCCTTTACAACAGTGGTCCTCAGGGATCACATATCAGATGCTTACATGCTGATTCATAACAGTAGCAAAATTAGAGTTATGAAGTAGCGATGAAAGTAATTTTATGGTTGGAGGTCAGCACAACATGAGGAACTGTATCATAGAGTCATGGCATTAGAAGGGTTGGGAAACACTGCTTTAGAAACATATCTACCTGATTTGAGTCAAGGTTTCTCAGTTGGCCTGGAACTCATCTGTGAGGCTGGGTGGTCAGTGAACCTCCAGAGTCCTCTTGTCTCCATTGAATGAGAAAAAAATAAAAAATAAAAATAAAAGGAGGACAGGACTGCTCCTGAGGGGTTGAGGTTTTTATTATGGATATAAGGAAGAGGCATTTGGGAGAGTCCAGAGTGAACATGACCATCAAAAGATGAGGGAGAAAAGAAGACAGAGCCAGGAGCCAAAAGGCCAGAAGAGCAGGAACCAAGGGCGACCACCAAGAGGCCAAACAGGGCTGGTGGCCAAAATGGCTGATGTTATATAGGAAAGAGTAGCTGGGGGAAGGGTAGGGTGTGGGGCATGCCATCCAGGAAGACCCTGTAGCAGATAGGGACTGAGGGATGCTGGGAGAACCTGGCAGCCAGCATCAGATATGTTAATAGGCATCTCCTTTAGCTGTCCACCCGGGTTTGAGAGCTAACATCCATATCTCCAGTTCTAGGATCACAGGCATGTCCTACCATTCTCAACATCTGTATGTGGGTGCTAGGGATTGAGCTCGGGTCCTTGTGCTTTTTGAGCAAGCACTTTACCAACTGAGCCATCTCCCAGGCTGACCTTGAACATCTGGACTTTTCTCTCTACCTTCCAAGTGCTAGGCTTCATTTCAAAATTAAGGATCAGGACCTCATGCAGGCTAGGCAAGAACTCTGACAACCAGTCCACATCCCCAGCATCCAGGAGTACTTTAACAAGCAATAAATATCACCACTTAGCTATGGATTCTGAACAAACACAGGCCTAAGCTGCTCTTTGCCTGTAGTACCCCTTTCTTCGAGAATTAGAAGCTACATTTTATACAGAAGAGAAAGAATTCAAACTTATTTTTAAAAACTGGAGGGAATTTAATTTTTAAGAATTTAATTTTAATTTTTAATAACTATACACACACGTTTCATACTTCAAACATTGCACAGACAATGTGATTCACAACAGAGTGTCTCATAGCCCTGTGCTCTCAGGAGACAGGGGTGTAAGTTTTTAATTGCTTAAATTCATACTGGCATTGAACAACTTGCACAACAAACAATGACTATTTGCTAGGAACTGATTAGGCCATGGATGTTCTTTCTTTCTTTCTTTCTTTTTTGTTTGTTTGTTTGTTTTACAATTTTTCTAACACTTCTTACATAAGCACTGCATCTACACACCCCTCACCCTTCCAGCTCCCCTAGCGTCCCCCTTCCCAAATTTATCATCTTTAAAAATATATATATATGGTTGTTACAAGTATGACCTAGAGGGTCCATTTAGCTTTGCTTGTTTGCACATGTCTCCAGGGATGACCCATTGAGATTGGCCAATCTATGTGGGGGTGAGTCCCTGGAGGGGACCGATTCTCCACCTGTTTGCAGACCTTGACCCCCTGAAGCTGTTCATCCAAGGGTTTCTTTAGAAATAAGATCCAATCCCTGATCTCAAGAAGTATATACTCTCAAAAGCAGAGACAGATGAAACAGGAACAAAGCTAGCCAATACCTCCTAAATCAGGCCTCTAAAGCAGTCCCTCCCTTCCCATGCTACTTTGCCCTACCTAGTTCAGGTCTTCATTTCTTGCTGGTGACAACAACTGTCTCTTCATTGATTTCATTCCTTTCTCACCCTACCCCACCCCACCCCCATCCCTCTTGAGACAGGGTTCCTCTGTGTAGTCCTAGCTGTCCTGGAACTCAATCCTCTCTCAAACTTGGTGATATGCATAGGTTCACAGGCATGCGTCACCACACCCGGCTTCCACAGTCATCCACAGTTGTTTTGTTGTGTGAACCTCACTTATGACTTGATATCTGCTTTTACAAGCTTCGGTGACCTGCCCACTATCACCTGGCTTTGGTTCTTTCCTGCAGCCTCCTGTGAGAACACGTATAGAACTTCACACCTATATCCACCTGGTTACAAGTGCCCTCGTCCCTTTAAAACCTTTCCCTGAAGTCTCACTTGCTATCTCAAAATCAACCTCTGAGAGGAAGCCTAGCCTGCTCTGAAATTCCCCCGGACCTCCTCCTGAACTAGGCACATTAAAGAGTCCCTGCCACCCCACTTTTTCTAACAGATTTAATGTGTCTGTTAGAAGAAAAAGTGGGGAAGAGCCTTGAACTCATTGGCACAGGAGACAACTTCCTGAACAGAACACCAATGACACAGGATCTAAGGTCAACAATCAATAAATGGAACCTCATGAAACTGAAAAGCTTCTGTAAAGCAAAGGACACTGTTATCAAAACAAAACGACAGCCTACAGAGTGGGAAAGGATCTTCACCAACCCTATATCTAACAGAGGGCTGATATCCAGAATATATAAAGAACTCAAGACATTAAACAGCAACAAATCAAGTAATCCAATTAAAAAATGGGGTACAGAGCTAAACAGAGAATTCTCAATAGAGGAATATTAAATGGCAGAGAAACACTTAAAGAAAGGCTCAACATCCTTAGTCATCAGGGAAATGCAAATCAAAACAACCCTGAGATTTCACCTTACACTCGTTAGAATGGTTATGATCAAAAACTCAAGTGACGACACATGCTGGAGAGGATGTGGAGAAAGGGAAACTCTCCTCCATTGCTGGTGGGAATGTAAACTTGTACAGCCACTTTGGAAATCAATCTGGCTCTTTCTCAGACAATTAGGAATAGCGCTTCCTCAAGATCCAGCTATACCACTCTTAACCATATATCCAAAATATGGCCAAGTATACAACAAGGCATATTCAACCATGTTCTTGGCCACTTTATTTGTAATATTCAGAAGCTGGAAACAACCCAGAGGTCCCTCAGTTGAGGAATGGATACAGAAATTGTGGTACATTTACACAATGGAATATTACTCAGCAATTAAAAACAAGGAAACCATGAAATTTGCAGGCAAATGGTGGGAAATAGAAAAGATCATCTTGAGTGGGGTATCCCAGAGGCAGAAAGAGACACATGGTATACACTCATACTTATACACTTATAAGTGGATATTAAACATATAGGCTAGGGTCAGAGGGAAGGGGAGGAAGATCTCCCCTCTCAGTGGACTGGGGGAGGGGCAGGGGAAGAAAAGAGGGAGGGAGGGCATTATTGGGAGGATGAGAGAGGGGCTACAGCTGAGATACAAAGTGAATAAATTGAATTAATAAAAAAATAAATTAATGAAAAAGAGTCTCCACCTCTTCCTTAACAGGCATCTCTTCTTTAATAGGAATC